TTAATATCCTAATGATTTTTGGCATAAAAGAAAAATCGATAATTTTGACCCATACAATGTATTGTTGGCTATTGCTACAAATATACCCGTGCTACTTATGACTGCTTTTGTGCTCCAGGGTCACACACACACATATATATATATATATATTTTTTTTTTATGTTTTAAGATTTTTTTTACATTTTTAAGCCTCACCAATGGCTGCATTTATTTGATAAAAAACAGAGTAAAAGCCATAACATTGTGAAATGTTAATATAGTTGAATTATATTATAAAATGCAATTTGTTTCTGTGATGCAGAACTGAGTTTTCAGCATCTTTACTCCAGTCTTCAGTGTCACAAGATCCTTCAGAAATCATGCTGATATGCTGATTTGCTGCTCAAAATCGCTTCTTACTACTATCAGTGACAAAAACAGTGCTGACTAATATTTTTGTAGAAGCCATAGTTTATTTCAAGATTCTTTATTGAATATCTAATAAATGCTTTTACTGTAATTTTTTGATCAATTTAATACATGCATTTGTAATAAAAGTAGTAATTTCTTTCATTAAAAAAAAAATCTTACCCAAGACTTTTGAAGTGTAGTGTAGATTTGGCATATTCATATTGAATTGATTTGATGTGACAGAAACAGAAGTGTGTGTTATTTCAGTACTCACTGGAAGTAGAGCGTTAAGTCTGTGGCCAGTATGGATTGTTTTAGGAGCTGCATGAGTTCTCCATACTCATGTGATGACAGATTAGAGAAAATATTGTGACCCTAGAGAGACAAAGAAAAAATTTAAATTGTTAAACAAAAATATTTTCATTCATTTAGGTGTCCTTAAGTATGGTTCTGCCCTGCAAAGAGTATATATCTGCACTGATGGTGTTTCATGGTAAGTCAGCTGGCTCAGTGTGGCCATGTATTTTTATCTTACAGATACAGGTACTTTTCAGGATAAATTTCCATATAAAGTGGGTTTGTGTATGAATATATAACCATTACTTAACATGTAACTCTGAATTCAAGCCACCCACGCATGCTTACATCAGAGCGCCTGATTAAAATAAACTGATATTTAAACATGCAAAAAAAAAAAAAATGTCTGTGTGAAGTTTAAACAGTGAGTCCTCGTGCTGCCTTAAGAAAAGCAAAGACGTTTCTTTAAAGCACGTACTTCCATTTACTCATGTTTGACATATATTTTAAATATATATTATTCAAATATTTGAATACTTTCACTTTAATTGAATTATTTTCAGCAAATGAGTTGTCATTTAGATGTCATCATTTAAGCTTGTTCAAACAGATTCCACTCCAGTAAACTTCTGCTTTTCAGTAACTGCAAGGCATGATGGGAAATAGGATAGGCTATATCTGCCCTACCAGATTAAAGAGCAGAGCAACCGTTCCCATTTCATTAAGGACCAACTTAAAATACTTGTCTGTCTGCTGGTCAGTGAACACGTTCTTTCTCTGAGTAAATGATGACCGAAGCTCATTTGTATGCAAATGACAGTGACACAGATAAACACGCTGTATCTGTAGAAAGCAATTATTCACAGCCAACATCTGTCAGTTACCACAGAGTGTAATTTATTCACCTCTCTCTCTCTCATTTCCCCCTTGTTATCTCATTTACTGTGGTTAAAATGATTTCTTGTATGGCATTGGTTTAGTGTAGATGATTATATGAAGTGAAGGTGTAAAAGTCTTCCCAATACATGCATTCAATTACTACCTATTTTAAGTATTTATTTTTATTTCTGATTTCTATGATGCACTCACTTCATTGTTTTTATTGCGGTTTAAACTCTAAATAGGAATGGAACATAAATGGTAAATTCCCTACAATGGCATTTCTTGTAAACTGGTTTGAGTTGTAGAATGAAAATGATTGTAAAGTAAGTCTATTTAAGTCTATCCATAAGTCTATGGAAAGTCCCCACAATTCACAAAAACAAACGTGTGTGTGTGTGTGCGTGCATGCATGTGTGTGTGTGCGCGTGCGTGTGTGCGAGCGTGCGTGTGTGTGCGCATGTGCATGTGTGTGTGTGTGCGCGTACGTGTGTGTGTGCGTGTGTGCGCGTACGTGCGTGTGTGTGTGCGCGTGCATGTGTGTGTGCATGCGTGTGTGCGAGCGCGTGTGTGTGCGCATGTGCGTGTGCGCACGTGTGTGTGTGCATGTGTGTGTGTGCGTGCGTGTGTGTGTGTGTGCCTGTGTGTGTGTGTGTGTCTTTTGATTTCATGGTAACTTTAAGTTTACCTCGCTCTGCAGGATCATAACAGCATGGTTGAAATGATGGTGCTCTAGCGTGGCTGATGTCCCATAAAGAAGAGAAAGCGCTGATCCCGTCCTGAGAAAGACACGAATGTCATTCAGTTCATGTGCAAAGTGAAGACATCCAGCATTCAGCTTCATAAAACGCTGTAAGCTTTAAAAGACGTGAGTCTAGTATTGGACTAGCGGTTGAGTAGCAAAGTCTCACTTGGCCTGGAAAGCGTTGTTGGTTCCTCTGTGGTCCAGATCATGGCAGATGCAGCCCACTATCAGAGCCAGAATCTCCATCTCAGTTAGAGTCTCCTGGAAGCCGGCCGACTGCAAATGAACACACATAAACATAAATGTCACACTTCTGTGGTAAATGTACAAAAACAGAGGCTGAGGAACACACACACCGCAGCTTTAACACTGATAATAATATTAATAGTATCAATGTCTGGGAAACTGCAATGAAGTTTTGTGTTTTTTTTTAAATAGTATGCTACACTACAAGCTACTAACAAAAAGTGACTAACAGCATTTAACAATTTAAGAGGACTATCTTTTTAATTGAACCAAATAATAATCAGATGGGTTTTTCAATATCAACTTTTACTGATAATGTGACGAGCAAATTAAAATAAAGTCTTTATTAATATTCATACCAGAATATGTGCTCTGGAATAGTTTGGGGTCGGTAAGATTTTGAAATAATCCTATGCTCATCAAGCCTGCATTCATTTGATTTAAAAATACAGTAAAAAAAAAACAGTAATGTTGTGAAATATTATTACATTTTCAAGATCTATTTTGTATTTGTATATACATTCAGGTCCATATATATTTGAACACAGGCACAATTTTTATTACTTAAGCTGCTGACCAAAACATATTCAAGTTACAGTTATATAATAAATATAGGCTTAAAGTGCTCAATCCGAGCTTTAATTTGAGGGTATTCTCATCACAGTTGGAGGAAAGGTTAGAGAATTATAGCTCCTTAATATGTACCTCCCTCCTTCTGGAGGTGTTTCTCAATGTGTTATTTCTCCAATTATATTTGAGCCCCTGAAAATGGGGGTAGGGGGGCTGTGTGTAAAAATGGTTGTAATTCCCGAGTAGTGTTAATTTTGTCAGCTATTTTCATTTTAGTCTTAGTCTTAGTCCCGGGCTAAAATGTCCTTAATACACAAAATAATGATCTTTAAAATAGCATCATATGACCCCTTTAAAATAAGCAAAACACACCGGGCAGAAAATGCATCAATTTAACAGCGAAGGAACGAAAATTTTTCGTCATAGTCTTCGTTAACGAAATTAACACTATTCCTACGCATTTTATGTTATATTTTTGTGCAACCCCTTGAATTAAAGCTTAAAGTCTGCATTTCAATCACATCTTGATTATTTTATTTCGAATCCATTGCAGTGGTGCATTTCTCCAGTCTTCAGTGTCACATGATCCTTCAGAAATCATTCTAATTTGCTGCTTAAGAAACAATTTATTATTATCAATGCTGAAAACAGTTGTGCTGCTTCATATTTTTGCATAAGCAATGATGAATTTTTCAGGATTCCGAATGGAAAGTTTCAAAGAACAGCATTTATTTGAAACAGAAATCTTTTATAACATTATAAATGTGTATCATCCTTGCTGAATAAAAGTATTAATAAAAAAATAATAATAAAAAAATAACTGACCCTAAACTTTTGTGAATCAGATGTGGATGATTCACAAAATCATGGTGCAATCCACATCCACAAAATGTGGATGTGGAAGTGGATGTGAATCAGATGATATTATTATATTTATTATCATTTAAAGTTTACAGTATACAATTCTAAATGTCAATGTCTAAAAGTTGTCATACAACTACTGGGTTTAGTTATGATTTATTAAAGTAATCAAACCCATTCCTAACACAAAAACACACACAGAGTAGGTCACTCACTGTCAGCATGGAAAACATGCACTGGCAAACGTTGAATGCATGTCTCCAGTTATGATACAGAACCATGCGATAGTTCTTCCTCACGGTCAACAGCCACCGACAAAGTGTCTAGAAGGAGAAAGAAGAGATGTGGTGTTACGATACAACCAAAAAATCTACAGTAGTTCCTGTCTTCTAATCTGATTGGTCTAGAGTGCTTAAAACCGAGCATAACATGTTTTACTGGGATGTCTGGCTCTTTAGAACTATTACCGCTGTAATAACTGTCCAAATTGTACTACTCAATATGAACTTTTATCACATTTTACTTTTATAAATGAATACAGGCTTACGGTCAAATCACAGCCTTGCTGATATTCAATACAACAGCACTCTTGCTTATGTGATATTGCTGAGTTAAAGAAATGCAAAGATGTGTGAACCTCATAGTCTATCTTGAATTTCTGCACCATTCCCAGCTCCATGTGTTTTTTGAACATTAAAGCATGTCAACATATTCTGTTACACCAAATACACAAAATAATGATCTTTAAAATAGCATCATATGACCCCTTTAAAATAAGCAAAACACACCGGGCAGAAAATGCATCAATTTAACAGCGAAGGTCTGATTCGGGGATTAGAACTCTTGATATCTGGCAACCGCACTCATGAAAGCTCATGTAGTAGAGGCGTGTAGAGCAGTCTGCAATAACATTTTGTCTCCTTTTTTGACAAAAATAAAAAGAGGTTTTTGGTAAAGTTTTTATCTTTTTGAATACATTTTTGTCTCGTCTTATTTCGTCAACGAAATTGCATGTTGATATAGTCTTAGTTATCATTTATTGACCTTATTGTCGTCTCGTCTTAGTCATGGGAAAAAAGCTCGTCAACGAAAATTTTTCGTCATAGTCTTCGTTAACGAAATTAACACTATTCCTACGCATTTTATGTTATATTTTTGTGCAACCCCTTGAATTAAAGCTTAAAGTCTGCATTTCAATCACATCTTGATTATTTTATTTCGAATCCATTGCAGTGGTGCATTTCTCCAGTCTTCAGTGTCACATGATCCTTCAGAAATCATTCTAATTTGCTGCTTAAGAAACAATTTATTATTATCAATGCTGAAAACAGTTGTGCTGCTTCATATTTTTGCATAAGCAATGATGAATTTTTCAGGATTCCGAATGGAAAGTTTCAAAGAACAGCATTTATTTGAAACAGAAATCTTTTATAACATTATAAATGTGTATCATCCTTGCTGAATAAAAGTATTAATAAAAAAATAATAATAAAAAAATAACTGACCCTAAACTTTTGTGAATCAGATGTGGATGATTCACAAAATCATGGTGCAATCCACATCCACAAAATGTGGATGTGGAAGTGGATGTGAATCAGATGATATTATTATATTTATTATCATTTAAAGTTTACAGTATACAATTCTAAATGTCAATGTCTAAAAGTTGTCATACAACTACTGGGTTTAGTTATGATTTATTAAAGTAATCAAACCCATTCCTAACACAAAAACACACACAGAGTAGGTCACTCACTGTCAGCATGGAAAACATGCACTGGCAAACGTTGAATGCATGTCTCCAGTTATGATACAGAACCATGCGATAGTTCTTCCTCACGGTCAACAGCCACCGACAAAGTGTCTAGAAGGAGAAAGAAGAGATGTGGTGTTACGATACAACCAAAAAATCTACAGTAGTTCCTGTCTTCTAATCTGATTGGTCTAGAGTGCTTAAAACCGAGCATAACATGTTTTACTGGGATGTCTGGCTCTTTAGAACTATTACCGCTGTAATAACTGTCCAAATTGTACTACTCAATATGAACTTTTATCACATTTTACTTTTATAAATGAATACAGGCTTACGGTCAAATCACAGCCTTGCTGATATTCAATACAACAGCACTCTTGCTTATGTGATATTGCTGAGTTAAAGAAATGCAAAGATGTGTGAACCTCATAGTCTATCTTGAATTTCTGCACCATTCCCAGCTCCATAAACATCCGCAGAGCTGCAGTGACCATGGCATCCACATCCAGAGAGAAGTCGTCAAACGACAGTTTATCAATGCCCAGTTCACACACCAGAGGGATGTTTGCTGATCCATGGAGTTGTAAAATGTTATTAATTTACATTACTTTTTCAGATCTAGAAATCAGTAAGAGTAAGAATCCTGGTTTAAAAAGAAAACAGTTGTTTAGTGGATAAATAAGATAATCCTGATCATCAGAATAAATCATCTCGAAGCCCTCTACTGGATCCTGGTTCATTTGGTTGAGATCCACTGGTTTAAATGTTTGTGTGTGAACTCTGTGTGTGTGTGTGTGTGTGTATGCAAAAAGAGGGAGAGACGCAAGAGGCAGAAAGGACAGAGTTTGCTCTTGAGTGCTTTAAAACAGATGCTTTGTGAATGGAACGAAACCAGCGTCAGGATTTTCAGTAATTTGTGTGTTAATGCTGAGTGAAGCTCAGAGTCGTGCTAATGAGGCACTACAAATAGATTCACACACACATTCCCAGATCTAATGAGGGACTGCTTGCAGGAGCTGCGTGTTATGCTGTGACGTCATTAACAAATTCTAATTGTAGATATTTATTAATATAATTATTCGTACCCGGTACTCATAAAGAAGAACAAGAAGAGGAAACCAAAACATGCTGCAGTTTTCACCATCCAGCATGACACATTACACTGCAGTGGATGCTTTTACCCAGTTATTACAGGGACGATCCACATCAAACAATGTCGTAATCTAAAAATGAATTTACTCACCCTCATACTTTCCAAACCCATAGTTGTATTTTTTTTATTTCCATCAAACACAAAATGAAATATTTAGCAGAATGTCCAAGCTGCTCTCTTTCATACAATGAAAATGTACTTTTATTCATACAGCCCAGTTTCAAAAAGGACAATAAAGCACCATAAAAGTATGAAACAGATGGTTAAAGGCCTCTTTGTGTTTATTTTATGGTTCCAAAGTGTATGATGATCAAATATATGTAATTATTGTTAATAAATATTGATAGCGCACATTCATACAGACATTTATATAAATGGAGAATGTCTTTTTTGATATAAGCAGCAGGATTTTAGAAATAGAGTGCAGATATAGAAACAATCCACACACACACACAGTAATATTTAGTATCTATTATATTTATTTATATGGTATTATTAATATTTTTAAATATTAATAATTATTTATTTTTATATTTTCAGTTTTCTTTTTAATTTTAGTTTCATGTGCTATTGTCATTTTTATTAGCTTTTGTCTACTTACTTTTTATTTATTTTTATTTCAGTTTTAGTAACTTTAGTACTTCAACTTCTATGCTAAATGCCAGAGCAACATTTCTAATTTTCATTTTTAAAGATTAAGTTTTTTATTTATTATTTCTATTATTTTATTTTAGCTTCAACTACCATTTTCAATAGTTTTAGTTAACAAAACTGGTCCAACAATATAGTCCATATGCTCAGCTTTTTTGATAGCTTTTTCTGATGAATAGGTGATTAAACTCCTGATTTTTGAAACATTTTCTTTGTGTGGAAAAGAGTGGGGTGGAAACTCACGTGTGGGTTTGGTTTATCAGCCTCGAGGTCTGACCCCTGCTTAGAGTTGTGTCAGTGACAGATCGAGAGAGCCATGGGAGCTTATATATTTAGTGGCATATATACATATATATAGTGTGATATTCCTGGATTTGGCTTTAAGCAATGGGTTCTTCATTCACTCTTGGAAACATGCTTGTACTTGTCAATGAAATGCTATAAGAGCTCCTGGCAAAATCCAGTTAACACGTTAAAAACGAGCATTTCACCAGAAAATGAACCCATGATAAATGAGGCTTTTCATTAATAAGACTCCACGGAGACTATATCAATAATGCACAAACACTGATGAGATATTGAATAGTTTTGTTCTGAATTATACATACTGCATAAACAATACAGTCTGATATACTGAGGTTAATATATCATGACATAATATATCAATATATAATTTGCCTACAGAGCAAACAGGTCTGTGGATGATGCAGTCAACATCTTTCATAATTATACATCGTCCATTTATATTAAACTGCACACTCTGTAAATAACATATCTGCACACTAATAAACATATCTGTACATTTATCTAAACAATTCATTTTTTCCTATACTTCTATTTCTGTATATAGTACATTATTACATTTTTCTAATTTTTCTTTTTTTATTATATTAGTGTTATATTACATCCCTACTGTGTTATTCCTATGTATGTCTGCACTATCATGTATGTCTGCACTATGTTTGTACTTTCTTCTGCACTGGAAGCTCCTGTCGTCAAGTCAAATTCCTTGTGTGTGTAAACATACTTGGTAATAAAGCTCTTCTGATTCTGATTCTGATGAATCTGGTTATTTCATTATTGATGCTGTACCAAACAGCACTGAAATGTCAGTCTATTGGGTATGATTCAGTGACGCATTACTGTTTACCTTAAACTTATCCACCTCAGTCTTTGAGCAAGTGGCGTGATATGACAGCACCTATGGAAAACAAACACATAAACTCCATCATTAAAGGTTCATATTTTATGCATTTCTATATTTTATGTTTATAATATAGTCATGACACTAGAAAAACATCATAGAGATGATAGAGAGAGCCAGCAAACTGGCCGAATTAGACCAAACCCCTGACACTATGAGAACTCAGCGCTGCAGCCCTCTGATTGGCTGATGGGAGTCATGTGAGCGCGGTGTATTAGAGAATGATGGTGGTGTCCATTCATGACATACAGACTGATTCTGAAACCGATCTGCACTACAGGTCATGCAATATACATTTCATGTCCGCTATAGTATATACTATTACATATTATTATACTGACAATCTGGAATCCTTATAAATACTATCAGATTAATCACAGAAAACAATCCTGCTTTCCTCTAGTTAGAGAAGAGCTTCGAAAACTCAATTAATGCTCACACTCACTCCTACACTCACTGTAATGTAGTTATGCAGCTAATATAATTACACAGCACCCTCACTTCCGCTGTTTCATTTTTGTTTTCTCTCTCATATTCTTTGCTCATTGACGTAAAAAATGTTACTATTTTTTCCCCTTTGCCTCCTTTCAGCTTGTCTCTAAAGTATGTTAATGCATGATTTAAAAAAAAAACAACACTTTCTGACCTTCTAAACTGAGCAGAGTGTTATTTTTTTCAAAGCTGAATTTAAAAAATGAACAGGAATGTCAGAATTTTCGAATATATCGTTTGTCTCCTTATGTTTTAAGCCTATAAAATCTGCTGTATCAAATTTTATTCACATATTTTTAAGGCCTCTAAATAATCAACATGATCAAAACTTTGCTGAAAAACCTATTGTACACAGTCTGCTACATGCCTTCTGTCTTCTGATTGATAGCTCAGACTTTTAGCAAATTATGTAATAATTTCTATTTTTTTTATTTTATTTAAATTTGTAGTAAACGTAAGAATGACATATATATATATATAAACATTCAATAAAATATTTTTAGTTCATATGTCAGGCTTTACAGGGTTAATAACGTCTGCACTCAAGCTGCGTGAAAAAAAAAAGTTCTCATGCTGATCTGATCTGAGATGTTACAAAGAACATTTTCAAAGAACAATTTCCTGTTTGCTAGGACATGAAAAAGTGAATATTAAATATGTTGTATTCATTTTACATCACAACTATTATATCCTAAAATTTCCTGTTTATTTCCAGCTATAATTAAAACAAATCTTAGATGTTCAGTGTGGTGTCCACTGTGGACAAAAGTGTGCATTAAAAATAATAATATTAGAAATCTTAATTCATTTTAATAATTTATTAGTAAATGTTGAAATTAACATTTAAATGTTCTGTTAAAGGGGTTATGCTTTTTTAAAGATCATTATTTTGTGTATTTGGTGTAACAGAATATGTTGACATGCTTTAATGTTCAAAAACCACATTATTTTTCAAATACTGTACATTATTGTAGGTCCTCTATGCCCCGCCTCTCTCAAACGCTTCGTTTTCTACAAAGTCCCTCCTTCCGACAAGCGCAGTCTGCTCTGATTAGCCAGCTGACCCAGTGCATTGTGATTGGCCGAACACCGCAAGCACTCGTCGGAAATGTAACGCCCCTTACCATAATCGCCAGCTTCATCTTTCAAAATAAATGTAAAGACAGTAAATAATGTCATTAGTTTTACCATCAGTTCAAGCCCGAAAGGGGAACAGACACAGTAATGATGCAGTACACAAGCCGCGGTTAAGACTCTACTGTGATGTGACGCTGTCTCTCTCTCTCGCTCTCTCTCTCTCACACACACACGAGCTGTTTTAGGGGGGTGTGGCAGAGTCTTAACTTTGATAAAGAATATCTCTTTGGTTTTGAGATATATATATATAATATTTATTTATTTTACAAATAAATATTGTAAAAAAAATGTATTGATGACTGGTAGTTAATGTTAGTTAATGCATCTTCCAATGTTAACTAATATGTAATAGAACCTTACTGTAAAGGGTTTCTGTTTAACTTAACTCAGTCAGCCACGGCTTTGCGAGAAAAAACAACAACAACCCTACAGAGCAGCTGAGTGTTTTACTGTAAACACACCATCATCTGTGTTTCCAGACGATCGTTTGTTCGATTGAAGTGAGTCGATTGAACGCTTTGAAGGTGAGGATTTATTCCTCTGTGTCCCACTGTTTCATTGTTAGATTAAAGGGGTCATATTCTGCTCTTTTATAGCATTTTAAGTCCGCTTATAATGTCAGCAAGGGTTTCTTGCACCAACACAGTAATAATTTGGTTTGAATTGATAATTTTCCACCCACTGACTGAATTAAACAGGCTGTTTTTTGTTGTGACAGCTTAGTTTCAATAAATCTTTTGGATGAACTGGAAGATTTGTGTAGCGAACATTATTGTTTGTCTACTTAGTATATTAAACTTTTATTTCAAAACCACAAGGAATATTCCGTTTTTGGTGATATGATCCCTTTAATAGATGTAATAGAGAGATGACTGCTGGGTGAGATGGTTGAGTGTCAAACCTACTCTGAGTCAGGAGTGAATACAGCTCTAACAGGAACTAGGTCAGTATATTCCACCAATCACATGCTCCCATCTTTACTTGTGTTGAATTATCCTACCAGTCATAAGTTTCTAATCTAACAACCCACCAATTATCAAATCTCCAACTAATTTACCACCACTTTGGAAACATCATAGCAATCACGGTCTGGAAGTGTGTGTGTGTGTGTGTGTGTGTGTGTGTGTGTGTGTTCGGAGAGACATACATCCAAAGCGACAGACTGTTTGGCCCAGGACTTCTTCACTTGGGCATACATAATGGTGTTATTGATTCCCAGTCCACAGAATATCACAAATGCCTAAAGAGAGAGAAAGAGACCATGGAGTCACACATACAGTAAGCCCTCACCAACCAATTTAAACTTCTGAAAGGGGTTTTTAATCTTCGTTTCAGGGGTCTGAGAGTGGTTTGCAAGAATTTTGTTCTTAAACACACCTAAAACGTTAACCATAAAAAATGACAAAAACACACAACAAAACTACCAAAAATTTAACTAAGGCTACGTTCACACTGCGAGCCCTAGTGCTCAGTTCCGATTTTTTTCTCAGATCCGATTTTTTTGTGTAGCTGTTCACATTGTTGTTTTAAATGTGGCCAATATCAGTTTTACAGTGTGAACAGACCATGGTTCTGAACTGACCCGCATGCGCAAAAGAACAATATGAACAGGGATTCCAGGTTTACACAACAAAATCCGCCCAATTGCTTCTCAAAACTAGTCCAAAACTAGCTTAACCATGTTCAGGGGGATAAATATCGCATTAGTGGGGTCGCATCGACCCACGAAGTTGAAAAACATCCCGCGGCAACAGTGGAAAAAGTAGCCAAATTCCGAGGGGAAACTGTGGATTTGGCAACACTTGCGCAGCGCGCGGTCATACGGAAGTAAACACGGAGGACATAAAGTAAGTGATTATGCGTTTATTTATAGTGTGATCTGCTGCTGAATCCGGCGAAATTATGTGCAGGCAATATGAAAAATAAAGACAAGGATGTGACAAAAGACAGCAGAGTTTTGAAGCTTTTATGATACGAGCCCTCATGTTTTGTTTGCATATAGAGTTGTCACTGTAATTCTTATGATTTCTGACCACATACTGTAGGTTCTGACACATCACACTTCACTGATTACCTTTCGCTACTGTCTTGATAACTTTGGGTATGTAAAATCATTGAAGTGTCTCCCGTCAGCACGGAATTATGACGAATGTCGATCTAGAGTGACGTAAAAGCCACATGAAATCCGACATGACTGTTCACACTGCGGTCGCATTGCAAAACATCTGACATGTATCGGATCTAGTACCACATATAGAAGTGGCACAAATCAGAATTGAAAAGATCAGATTGTATGCGGTTTGTGCTGTTCACACTGTCATGACAAAAACAGATCCAAGTCACGCGTGAGCAAAAAAATCGGATTTGGGCCACATTTGCCTGCAGTGTGAACGTAGCCTAAGGGTCTGTTCACACTTGTCATGTTTGATTCGATTAAAACGAACTCATGGTGCGCTTGCTCTTAATGTGGTTCATTTGAGTAAGTGTGAACGCTGCCATCCGAACCCTCGTGCGCACCAAACAAGAGGACCGAGACCACTAAAAAGATGGGTCTCGGCCCAGTTTCAAACGAACTCTGGTGTGGTTCGAGTTCATACACCACATACATTCATACATTTCATACAATCAGTCTGCGCAGTGCTGAACACACCTATTGTTTCGGGTATTCGGTATATGACCAATCAGGTTGTGAACATAAGACTATGCCTTTAGGTTTGGTATCTTTAGGTTCGCTGTCAAAAATGCCAGTGTGAATGCTAAGTGGACCAGAAACAAATATATTGTTTTCTTTTTTGGTCCAGACCAAACGAACCAAGAGAGCCGAACTACAAGAGTGAACTAAAAGTTCAAATTTTCCTAAAAGGAAAATGAAAATGAAAAAAATTAAACTATTAATAAAAATGATAATTGTATATTGATACTAAAATAACACTGGTTTGAATGGTCCAGAGAAACTGAACCGAACCCTTATTATAATTGATTTAATAGTAGTGGTCCATTTTCAAGGAGTCCACTTTCCAGGCCATTAACTTTGTGAATGCAAAGAGAACCGGGTTCTTTTCCCCTCAGTTCAGGTTTTGGTCCACTTAAAGTGTTCCAAGTTTTGTTTCAAAACAGACTCAAGACATTAATATGGAGTTGGTCCCCCTTTGCAGCAATAACAGCTTCCACTCTTCTTTGAAGACTTTCCACGAGGTTTTGGATTGTTTCTGTGGGAATTTTTGCCCATTCATTCAGTAGAGCATTTGTGAGGACAGGCACTGATGTTGGATCAGAAGACCTGGCTCACAATCTCCATGTAGTTCATCTCAAAGGTGTTTGATGGGGTTGAGGTCAGGGCTCTGTGCGGGACAGTCAAGTTCTTCCACACCAATCTCATCCAACCATGACTTTATGCACATTGTTATGTGCACTCAGTCATGCTGGAATAGAAAAGGGTCTTCCTTAAACTGTTCCCACAAAGTTGGAAGCATAGCATGGGATAGTTCACCCAAAAATGAAAATTCTGTCATTAATTACTCACCCTCATTTCATTCCAAAACCGTAAGACCTCCGTTCATCTTCGGAATACAAATTTAGATATTTTTGATGGAATTTGAGAGCTCTCTGACCCTCCATAGACAGCAATGTAATTAACACGATCAACGCTACCGCGTTCGCGAGATAGTGACACCAGCCAACACTTTAACTTCAGTAAGGAGGTTTCTTGTTCAGGCAGCAGCATTCAAGCATTGGCTTATTCGTCCGTAAGTGCCCTGCGAAGTGGACTTCACATGAAATTCCGCCATGATTCCAGTTCCAAGGGAACGTACACGTTACATTCAAAGTGCATTAAAGTGCGCGAGATGTGAATTTCTATTGTATTTATTTACAGAGGTATATTATGTCACACTTCACACTTCTCTAGTAAGTTTCGTCTGTGTGTGAAGACAGTAGCGCAAATCTGTGAATGAATGTTCCGAAGTGAAATAAACTTCAACGGAATAAAGTTGAATGGAATTGAATTGAATTAAAGTTGAATAAACTTCAACTTTACTGTTCAGTGCACTGATGTCAGACTCATTTTGGATAATAAAGTTTATTGTTAAATGCCCTGCCTCCATTACATATCTTTGTCACGTCATTATAAGTGTTTGATCACCAAATTTGAGTGATCATTGCAAAAAAATTTGTTTATGTATATATATTCTGTTTATGTATATAGTGTATTCTATATATAGTACCAGTCAAAAATTTGGACACATGAATGGGAAAGTGCCCAAACTTTTGACTGGTACTGTACTATAATATACACCAAGAATATCGGCCAATATATCGATATCGGCCCTTTTCTACCCCCTAATATCGGTATCGGCCCCCAAAAAAACCCATATTGGTCGGGCTCTAGAGAATACAGTAGGCCATAATTCTCTCAAATCACTCTGAGACCCTTGCAATGTACTAATTGTGAATATAGCGTGTGTGGGTTTATGCATACATATGGACTTTTAAAAGATTCTTGGTCTGCAATACAGTTCGCTTAAATCATGTTTGATGGTAGCAAAGCAATCATAAAGAAATCTCTCAGATATCATACCTCAAACAGCCTCTGATCTGCATCATCAAATGGTTTTCCATCTAATCTGTTCAAGACCTGAGCCACACCTGCGACACACACACATGAAGACAGTGAGATTGCATGCTGTGTTTCATGACCCATATCAGGTCCTTTAAAGCACAGCAATGCACTGCAGCCATGGATGAAGAATCTCTCCCTCGCCCCACCCCCAATCTCTCTCTCTCTTTCTACATGGCTAATTAAACAGTGTGCTGTTAGTATGTAATTATAATGATTGTTCCTTTAAGTGCAAACCCTCCCCCCGTTCACACACCTAACACCTCCCCCATCCTCACCATCTCATTATAGTCAATCAGAAATGTGGTGCTTGCTTTGGACAGCTTGTACATGCATATATATGGCTCCACCATAACACTGCCTATAATTACAACACATTTTATCACTTGAAGAAGCTTGTTCGCCTGAAAGCCCACTGATATGTGTGGGAAAAAAAATCTTTTTAAGTAATCCTAAACCATAAGTGGTGTCCAGTTATCATCTCAGTATATAGTTACACAGCTCACTGCATCTGCATAGTATATACAGAACACCCCATGCTATTTTAAAAACAGCATGTGAAAGACTAGCATTAGGCAATGAAAAATGCTCTAAAAAGTAGCATGATACAGTGTTGTCACATGACCTCATTACATGCTGCATGATACAGTGAGAGGTGCCTAGTTATCACCATATCATTAAAATGGTTATTTAGCATGAAGAATAATAACAAAGCAAGAAATGTTATTAGCTCTGTAAAGCCATAAAGGAAAAATATTTTATTTATGTATTGTATATAATGCTTTCGTATTCTCTGTCAATGTGAGCCAAATGTCGCTTTTTGTCTTTTTTTTTTTTGCAGTTGAAACTTATTCTGTGGGGATGGGATTGAGATAAAACTTTAGGATAAATCTTACTATAATACGTATTATATAAATTTTTTAGATTACATTTTTAGTAACAATTTAGTTTAGGGACCAGTTCTCACTATTAATTAGTTGCTTATTATCATGCATATTGGCTGTTTATTAGTATGTATTATGCACATATTAATGCCTTGTTCAGCATTACCATATTTAGATCCATTAATCCACCCCATACATAAACTTAACAACTACCTTACCAACTATTAATAAGCAGCAAATTGGGAGTTTATTCAGGCAAGAGTCATAGTTTAATAGCCCTCAAACTAAATTGTGACCATATTTTTTTTTGTATTTTATTTATTATCAGCTACATAAAGCAATTAAGAAAAAAATACTTCATTTATTCATTTACATATATAATGTTTTATATAATGTAAAGGATGAAATGTTACAAAGCAGCAGGTTGATACCGCTTCTCATTCTCATTTATTAGTTTATTATACATTATTTCATGTACACTTTGGTTGTGTAGTGCACATGTTTATAGTAGGCATCTGGGCATCTCATCCATACAAAACATTTGTAGTATATACTGCATACTACAAAAATAGTAGTATGCTGAATACAATTCCAAACATACCCAAGGACTTAAAAAAGCTACAGTATTGATATGGATATAAAATCTTTCGTTTATGGACAGTGAGGTTTCTGCATTAAATCCTTTCTCTCCTCATAGTGCTGAAATGTTTCCACACTGGCTTTATACATGATTTGAAAGAAAAGAAAACTGGTTCTGAAACTATGGCAGTGATGAAGAAAGAGAGTGAGAAGGGGAGAGAGAAATCTTTTGAATGAAGACATCCTTGACTTTTGCTTCTACTGGCTGTTTGTGCTTATAATGACTTTCGGTCCCTGACAGAGTCCTCCCACACACACACACACACACACACACATCCACCCACACACAGTGCACTTGTGCAGAAGCACACACACACACACACATGCTGATGTGACACACAGATATACATTTAAACAGACATTATCCTATATAAACATGTTTGTCTTCCATTCTCTCACAAATCACTGAACTCTAGCACACAACATAATACAACACAGCCGATCAGGGAACATCAGTACATACTATATGTAGTGAAACAACAGCGCTTAACTGGATAACTTACCTATGATTTGGTGGTTACTGTTCCAGATAGGGACACATAGGACAGATCTAATATGGAAGCCAGAGAACTGATCTGCCTGAAGACATTACAAACAAATTCTTGTCACCATATCAAAAACCAAACGATCTGACTATAAGCATGTGAGGAGAAGTGAGCAAAAATATGAGCTCATCTGAAGACACGGCGTTATATAATCTTGTGCTGCTGGCATTTTGAAGATGCACAAGAGCCGACAGAGGTCCAAGGTTTTAAGCAGAGCAGAAGTCTCTCTCATCTTTAATCATGCTCTTTAAAGGAAGATTCTGGGTTAAATACAACTCTTTCTGTAATATGCTGTCCATTACCACAGAATACAATTTCGACTAGTTCCTCAGTTATAAAGTTAAAATGTATATTACTGCAATAGTGTGAAACTGAGACTAGTCCTTTTATCACGTTCAAATTCTGGGTAAGACTGTTATGATGTTAATTCGAGTGTATTCAAGTGTAAACCTTTAAAGGTGCAGTAAGTGAAAATCAGCACCCAAACAATACATTTTATTAATATTTGCTAGCTGTCTGGTTTTAATTATTTATTTATTTTGTGCTCTTTCCTGCATGGCGTTAGCAAGATCATGGGTTAGATTACCAACTAAATTCACATGCATGAGCTTATAAAAATGTTTGCCTTTATATGTACTGGACTAATTGATCTATTCCAATTGTATTCATTTATTTATTGTTGTTTAGGGATCTTACTTCAGCGTCGAAGCGTGGGTCTTGGAAGGCATCGCTGATATTCACAGGAAGCCCAGTGGAGGCGACCAGCTCTGCAATGCTGTTATTAATCAGCCAGTCAGAATAGGACGATTTTTCCATGCTGTCCTTGAAACTGTGAATAAGACGAAGAGGAAGTGACATGTGCTGCTATGTACAAACCCAAGACAACCATTACTATTACTATTGCTCATACTTTGGCTTAGAGATGACATCTAAACTCTACACCCACAGTATTAAACTTGTGTGCAACTCGTCTTGCACCATTTGTGCTTTGGACATGAAACTAACTAATATATCTAACTGTGTGATTTATTGAGAAAGCATAGCGCTCCCTTGTAAAAATAAGTACACTTCAGCATACTTTTAAAATGAGTATGTACTGTACAAAAATATACTTTGTAAACTGAAGGTAATGGCTTTGGACACTTAACTGCATATTAACTACACTTGAACGAATGTGTTTCATAGTTTATATTTATATTAAACGCATTTATCTAAACTTTAGAGTGTTTTTTTCTTAGGACTTAATTAGGAGTTAAGTACATCTTCCTATGCAATTTCATAATTATTTCTATTGTCTTTGAAATATGGTTACATTGTACAGTCAAATGTACTAACAGACATTTATAGTTTTAATGTCATTTCTATTGTAACTTTTATTTAAATATATGTGTAATTACACATTTGCAATGATGAAGTTTCAATTTAGTAAAATATAATAACTTAAAATGTAATACAGAATAACATTAGTCAACAATACTTTACATTTGCTTTAGTATGTTAGTCAACACATCAAATCAAGTGTACATAAAGAATGACAAAAGGTGATTAAAACATAATTAAAAACTTTGAAGTAAAACTTAAAATTTGACATTATTACAAAGTGAACCCTATATGTCATGAAAGTGTCTCTCTTTCATTTTTATTCATTAATATTCTCATGAATATTTTAATATCTGCAAGCAGTTTTTAAAAAATACTTTTAAGATATGAAGTACACTACAAGCGCACATTCAATACAATTAAGTGCATTTTTTTCACAAGGGGTTCAGCTCCATTTAACACATTTTACCATGCTTTATATCCATTCAATTAACCAGATTTCTCCTAAAAATCAGTGAAAATGTCTGCAGATGTCATTTGGGCTTCAATGTTATCATGTAAACACCTGCTGCTAGTACTCAAGTTAGTGTTCTCTTCAATTACGCGACAGTTCGGACCCAAAATTACAATGTATAAAGAGACCTGCGGGGACAAGCAGGTGGAATTAAATGCAAGCTCGGACCAAGCGATCGCACAAAGTGTGAAAAGAGCCTCAGACGCTTCAGCTTGAGGAAGAGCTGACGGATGCTGAGGTCCACATGCTGAGCGTGAGCGTCATTCCCTCTCCAGTAATTTACAGCTAACAAACTTTCCTCTGCATTTGGATAAGGCTCTATGGAGCCTGCAAAAGCAATGAGAAGTTAACGCTCCGACTCTCATAAACGCCCACGTGCAGCCGGAGAGACAGTCCTGATGTAGCCTCTCTCTCTTTTAATCTCTCTCACGTGGTACATTTCAGGCTCTTGCACTCTGGGCTGAGAGAGTCTGATCAAACATCTTCTCTCATACTCTCGATCACACCCCAAAGATCACACATGATTAACGGCGCTGCGAGCTGCTGTCTGAGGAAATGTCGGAGTCAGAGGGATGAATGGGAGTGTGAATGTATTGTGCGGGGTGCAGCTGAGCACGCGAGATGTGTGTTGTTGTGTGTGCGTCTGGGTGAGCAGCAGAGACGCGTCTCTCTCCCGTTTGGCCCCGAGCTGTTTCAGAGCGCAGCAGAGGACAAATCATCCTTACATAATGGTTCCGGCTGTACCTCTAGAGAAGCCAACACAGAGGATGAAATCACTAAATAACACACATAACTTTGAGAAAATCCCCTGTGTATGACAGTAATATATTACTGAAGCTGTATAATGTCAAAGCTTTGAAGCAGTGTGACATATTTTGTGCATTTTTTCAGTCTGTATTCGATCACCTTGTGTTTCTAAACAATATTTTACAAGTTTATGTGTTTGTATAATCCTTTAGTGATAAATGAGTGATGTGTACTATAGAAAACTAGATTTTTTAAAGTAAATTCACCTGTGAAAAGTAGACTTTACAGTATACGTTTAAAAAGAGTACTTATTAAAATACTATAAAAGAAAATACTTAAGTGTGAACTGAATGTAAAGTTTTCGGACACTTAATTGTAATGAAATGAAAACCTACTATAACCTATGGAACAAGAATGTGACCAATAGGAAAACTTCACACTGACGTACATGAGTCACAGCCTGTTAGGAGCTATAAACACTGTTAAAGTGTGCAAATTAACCTGCGCTAGTCTCTAGCAAACTGTTCGCGCAAGCTCTGCGCATACGAGATGCTTCAGATCAATGCTGTGCCATACTTTTACTACTGATGGATGCTTTGAAGCAAATTTTTTTGAACCAATGGTTCAGAGTGCATATCAAACTGCCAAAGCCATGTGATTTCAGGAAACGAGGATTCATTACGTCACAACTGTTTCAAAATATTTTTAAATTTCAATGTTCATATTTCTCATATTTAATGGTATTTGCTAATTGCATTTAATATATTATTATTTCAATAAAACATCTGCAATGGGTTTGTAAAAATAGTTTTTATGCATACATTAGTTTTCTGACCCTGCATAGACAGCAAGGGAACTACCACGTTTAAGGCCCAGAAATGTAGTACGGACATCATTAAAATAGTCCATGTGACACCAGTGGTTAATTTTATGAAGCTACAAGAATACATTTTGTGCACAAAGAAAACAAAAATATCGACTTTATTCAACAATTCTTCTCACCGTGTCACCATCTGCCGCCAGTGACGCCAGTGCACGACTATTTTATTGTTGCTATCTGTGGAGGGTCAGAGAGCTCTCAAATTTCATCAAAAATATCTTAATTTGTGTTCCGAAGATGAACGAAGTTACTTTGTACTCTTATGGGTTTGAATGGAACAACATGAGGCTGAGTAATTAATGACAGAATTTTCAACTTGGGGTGAACTATCCCTTTAAAGCATGTTAAATATTATTTAAAACAATCACTTAATCCGGGTGTGTGTTCACGGTGTGTGTGTGTTCACTGCTGTGTGTGTGCACTTTGGATGGGTAAATGCAGAGCACTAATTCCGAGTATGGGTCACCATACTTGGCCACATGTCACGTCACTTAAACTGCACTTAAAGTAATTTGTAAAGTGATTTGACATTATTACAAAGTGCATTTTTTTTTAAGTGTGTTAAACAGTCATGAAAGTGCATTCTCTTTAAGCACACATAAGTGGCATTTTAAGTTCATTAATATTATATTATCATCAGCAAGTAAAGTTTTTTTTTTTAAATACTTTTGAGATTTGAAATTCACTACAAGTGCACATTCAATACAATTAAGTGCACTTATTTTACACAGGAGTGTGAATTATTGCCTGTGCAAGCTGGTTTTGGGTCAGGTGAAGCACCGCAGTGTACATACCTGTGCTCCAGAGACAGGACAGCGCAAATCATATATGCATATATCATATCTGACCCATTTGAATTTTACGCAGAATAGTCGACTTTATAGAGCTATGAAGGAGGTCAAATATCTCAAATGGTTAGACAGCCATGGCATTTTAAACAGCACTAATGAAGAAAAGAGAAGACAACACACTGTGCCATCATGCATACGACACCAAGGATGTGTTCCAGAAAGCAGGTCATGCAACACAGATAAGCAAGCTGATAACCTCAACATCTCGAACCTGTAGATAAAAATCTGTAAACATCATATCTGTACATGATTCCATAGTTCTATATAAAATGTTCTCCAATTATTTTGACAAGAAAAAAAGCCTTGAACTTAACACTGGCAAGGGAAATCTAACAATTTATCAGCCAATGGCTAACAACAGACATTATTACGTCACCTAGCGCAAAATGTATTGGCATATGCATGTGATTTACTCGCAGTAGAGAGCTGATTTTGAAAATAATTGTGGTTTTAATATCTCAGAGCACTTTAGCTAGTTGTAAAGTGACTGCATGTGATGCTTTGTTGCTCAGATGGTGAGGGTGGGCTGAGCGATGCATGTGTTCAGATGGTGATGGTGTGTGATCTCCCCAGACAGACCTCCGCTGGAACATTAGACAGGTGCAGAGAATGAGATGATATGTGTGACTGAACACACATTGTAGTGTGAAAGCTCCCATATGGCAACTGAGATCTCCAAACCTGTGCGCTTCGTCGTCATTGGCTACACAAAACAGTCAAGAACAACAGACCTATCTTGCACAAAGGAACATGTTTGCTCTTACTCCTGGGCTCCTCAATGGCTGTGTGCTTGCAGATCTGCTAATGTACTGTTGTGGTGTGTGTTGTTGTAAGAGCTGAGCTCAGGGTTTTGAGACTCCACTAGTGCTGAGTACTGGACATACTGGAGCACTGAGTGTGGGCTGCAGATAACAGATATCACACAATAACCCTGACCTACTGCACACCCTACAGCACTGCCACTAAATACACCACACACGCACAAACTACAACATCATAACCCTGAGCTACTGCACACGTGACCCTACAGCACTGACCTTTAACAAAGTTCCTTAAGTCATATCACTCGGCGGCCATCTTTGAAACGCCTCTCGGTCACGCAAGTGCAACTCCTATCTCTTTGAATGGGGAAACATCGAGTTCTCCAAAACTGTTTACTAAGCTTACGATTAAATTTCATATTTGAAATCACCAAAGAAATCTGACAACAACTGTGTCATAAATGTTGTTTCTTTTCCACAAATAGCGTTATAAAAAGCTTATTTTTCAGGCTAAGTTCAGCCAGTGCGCATGTGCAGTCCTAAGCGCACGTCTCAAAACGCTGACTGTTTCTATAGCAACCGGGACTTCTAACAGCAGCTGCAGTGACGCGCTGACTTTACCAATTCGCGATTGGCTCTTTCATTCAGAAGGCGGGGCTTCCTGCGATTGAGCGGCCATACTGAGCGTTGCATTTTTCCCCATTCAAAACGATTCGAGTGACACATCTTAGGTATTCTATAGTCTTTGCCTTTAAT